CCAGATGATTCCTCACATGAAGCCAACTCCCACTGTCACACATGCAAGAGTTATGATGGTGTCTGACCTAAGGCACCTCCTGATTGTTAATCATGTTTTATGTGTTTGTACTATGCATAGCTGCATCAGTTTCTTATTATGTCTTTGCTGTTTCCCCTTGAGAATTATCATTCTGTAACTAGGGCCTCCTAATGAAATAAAAAGAGGAGAACGGCCTTGAGTCATCAGAACGTGTGGAGACTGTTGGTTTTGATGCCCACTCTCTGCCCGTTCTCCTCGCGAGTAAAACTGAATTAATCTCTTGTCTTTCTTCTTGTTTACAATGTTTAGATAAACCTAACAATGGAATAAAACTTAACGATCTCCATGGAGACAAGCAGGTGCATACAACAAATCACTCACATGGAACAAATTATAGACAAATAAATTTAAAATCACATTGTGGAACATTCCAGGCAAAGCAATAAGATTTTCATGAGACATTCAGGTGATGGACTCTCCACCAGAAAACATGAACAGTGCTTTTATTTGTACTTTGCAGTGACATCATACTGGGGGTTCTCTTCATGTATCTCTAACTGTGAAATATTTAGCAGTTACTAGGGGTGTAACGGTACAAAAATCACAGTTTGGTACGTACCTCGTTTTTGAGGTCACGGTTCGGTTCATTTTCGGTACAGGAGTCATGTCCAAACTACAATTTTTTCTTGGCCCTCAGGCTTCCAGATGAATTGGCCCCATTACCTTACATCACAGGTGTCAAACATAAGGCCCGGGGGCCAGATCCGGCCCTCCAAGACCTTTAATGTGGCCCTTGGGTGATTTTCTACTAAAATATTTTAATTATATTTTCTATTAAAATCTTGTTAATTTTCTGTGGTGTTTATCACAGCAGCGTCTCCAGCGTCTCTGTACGTGGCCCCTCCCACCAGAGCAGCACAAATGAAGACTTGTCTCTTTCCAAACGCTCTTAAAGGACGATCGTTTTGACTGTTGACCGTGACACCCTCATCAATAAAATGTCCAACATGAGAAAAGTGGAGCCGAGTGCAGGATTTTACAACAAAAATTGACTTATTCCTGTTTACATACAAGTTCATGTTAAAACATTGTGTTGAAATTGAATTTTTCTTCAATTTTCAGGTTGTTCATAATCTTATATTATTATAATAAGAAAGAGTTCATCAATTAAAAAAGATTTCTGTAATAGATTTGTGTTTCTCTGCACAAATATTTGTTAAATAACTTATTGTTATTTTTGGGGTTTATATGACATGAGTTTTCTGATCCGGCCCCTTTGGGATCAAAGTTGGTTGGATACGGCCCCCGGACCAAAATGAGTTTGACACCCCTGCCTTACATCAATTAAAAATGAACTTTTTACTGCAGGTTTTTTGATAATCTACCTTGATAAAGCTGATATTGAATATTTAGTGTGTGGTTTTAAGAATCTTAGCATGAATAAAGACTGATGGATCATTCTAACATGTTAAACAAGGCACATGTTTCAATGATTCAGTGTATTGAGCATCAGTCTGTGGCCCTCGATCAGTCCTCTGCTTTGTCTGTGTTTACATATGTGGCCCTCGAGGAAAAAAGTTTGGACACCCCTGTGGTACAGTGTACGAACAAAATGCAAAACCATTTGTGTGTTTATTAAACCAACAATTTGTATCAACATTATACAAATGGGAAAATAAAATAAATGCAAAGTGCTATAAAGTGCAGCAGGAAACAGTTCCCACCCCGATCACAGACCAGTTTCCTCGTGAATATTAAAGAGCCGAGCCTCTCTGCAGCTGCACATGTAGAGGTGGAATGTAAACACACACAAACTGCACCGAACCAAACGTCCTGTACTGAAACGGTTCAACACGGATACATGTACCATTACACTCCTAGCAGTTACCACACCACACGGTCAAAAAAGAGCCTGGGATCAGTACAAGCGCTCATCTTCCTGTTTAGGAGTTTGATTTTCAACAAAAAGGTGAGAGTGACTCACTGAAAAACCGTTGGTCGTGACTAATTTTCTCAGAGACTTTTTTAACAGCACAGATCAGATCAACTGATGTAGCTCCAGTCAAGTAAATTCTTTATGGTCAGATTGTGTTAAAATAAAGCTCAGATTAAAGTTCAGAGTTTACAGTTAGCATCACACCCCCAGGGAATGTTGACATCATCTGCAAAGTATCAATAAGGACAGAAGTTTAGCCTTTGGACTGTTATTCCACAAGGTTAAATTAGAGGTTAAAGGTTGTATGGAGGATTTTTTGTTTGTTTCAAATTGTCAATGAAAGTTTAAAATACCATTACAGAGACGCAGCAGCCTTGTAATTATGATGACCAAAAAAAAAAAGAATGAAAATCTATCAACTGTGGACGTGTTGAGGCCAGATAAACATCAGCCAATAGAAAACGAGGCTGCCTCATTTTCTATTGGCTGTTAGGTTGTCAATCAAACTCCCTACGTTTCTAAGGTAACTATGCAGCGGTTCTTAGAGGCTTTTTCTAATTGTGGCTCTCTCGCAGTTCGCATAAAGTTTGTTGCGACGTCGGACGAGAATCCACGACCAGTTCGCCGCAAAAGAAAGTCGGTTTTTGAGGTCGCTGAAAGACGAAGAGAAGGAGAAAAGGAGCGAAGACAAACTGAGGTGATTCTTGGAGATTCCTTTCAGTGATTGTGCGACTGAAGCAGACGAAGGGGTCTAAAAACTGAGGTGTCGGTCTCTACATTATTTCTCGAGGGACCTGAGGAGGAGGAAGGTGGTGTCACGCGTGCACTACATTTGAAAAAGGACTGTCGCTGGATTTCTCTTTCCTTAAAAAAATCCTCTATACAACCTTTAAATATTGTCTCGTTTACTGTAGACGTGTCATCTGCAAGTGTCATGTAGGATTGTAATGGCCACGTTTACAGGATGTTTTTTAATTCCGAATTAATTGTTCTGAATTAAAATATTCTCCTTCGAGTTCACATGGAAATAATAATTCTGACTTGACGTTTACATGAAAACACATTAAATCGTCTTTATTTAATTCCGCTCAGCGTCTGGAGGTGGGGAAGGTTCTGATTGGACAGAGACACAAACGTATTTACGTCGACCGGAAGAAAACAAACACTTCAGCTGCTCCCGGCTTTTCTGTCATCTCGGTTTGTCGTTACTCCACGGACACAAACACGAGCCAAACTTTTCCCGCAGTGGTTAAGATGATAATTGCGCAGCAGCTGGAGAATTGTCTCATCACACTTTACGTCTGTCGGCTGAGGAGGAGAAGGGAAGAGCGTCGGAGAAGAGAGGAAGAAGACAAACTGAGCGTGAGGCTGATCTACCTCAGCCCACTCCCACATCCCGCTCACAAATCCAAAGAGACGTGGAGGAAAGTCCGAAGCCACGACTGGTGGAGCCGGATCGAAGGGCGACACAACGAGCATGAACTGAACGACCGGAATTATTTTGAAGAAAAATAAACTTTCACATGATCAAGAATCTGTGTATCATTCATTCATTCGTTTTTCAATATAAAACCAAAAATACAAAAGCGAAAAAACTTTATTTTCTTCATTATTTGTCTCCAAAACCAAAATGAAAATAACAGATAATGATTCGTTTTTTCAGTTTTCGATTTTGTGTTTAAATGAAAAATGGAAAAAAACAGATAACGGACGTTTCCCGTTTACGTGACTTAACTAAAACAGGACTAAACCGTTCTCAGTCCCGGTCTGGTCCTGGTCTCGGTCCCAGTCTCAGTCCCGGTCTGGTCCTGGTCTCGGTCCGGTCTCAGTTCCTGACTCAGTCCTGGTCTGGTCCCGGTCTAAGTCCTGGTCTCAGTCCCGGTCTGGTTCCAGTGTAGTACCGGACCTAGTTCAGTCCTGGTTCTGTCCACATGTGGCGCAAAAATCCCACATTGCATTTTTTTCCATTTTTCATTTAAACACAAAGTCAAAAACTGAAAAAACTAATTATTATTTGTTTTTTTCATTTTGGTTTTGGCGACAAATAATGAAGAAAATTTTTGTTTTTTTGTTTTCTCAGTTTTGGTTTTATTTTGAAAAACAAATGAACGAATGATACACGGATTTATTATCGAGGAATAAATTCATTCGGCTTCAAAATCTGAACAAACCACCCACTTACTTCGGAATTAAGTTTAATTCTGAATAGATTGGGAGCCGTGTTTTCTCTTTCTCTCACCTTTTTTCTCTTCACGCCGCGTGCAGACTCGTGAGAGTTTGACAGCGGCAGCGGCTGAAAACGAAACTCTCAGAAATAAATAAACCAGGACTAATTTTGGACTCGAGAGACGGAGAGAGATAGAGACCGAGTCCCGACGCTCAGTCCTGGTTCAGTTCTGGTTTAGTCCTGTTTTACATATGGTTTAGATCTGTTTTAGTCCTGGTTTAGTCCTTTTTCAGTCCTGGTTTAGACCTGGTTCAGTTCTGGTTTAGTCCTGCCTGCAACAAAACAATCTGAAGAGCCGCTTGGGAGTCAAAAGAGCCGGCAGCTTTTAGTGAGCCGAGCCAAAAGAGCCGGTTCTCTAAAAAGAACTGGAATCCCCATCACTAGTGTCTAGAATGTGATGCAAAAATACCATTAGTCCAAAATACTGTCTGTAAATATGACGTAAAGAGTCAGAATAACAATAAATGTTGCCTAAATAAACCCAATTTAAAATCCACCAGAGCCAAACCTACGTTTTTTAAACAATTCAAGATTTACAGTGAATTTTTACATCACTAAATATATCGGTGATTATATCGGCAGCTCAAAACTCCCATTATATCGGTTTCATATCGGCCACAACTAAATCCATATCGGTCGGGCTCTAATTCTGAATAAACATTTTTAGTAGGAATTAAGTGTTTACTTGGTCTTTTTAAAGCAGAATTAATTTTTATTCAGAATTAATAATTTTTATTCAGAATTAAATTAATTTTATTCGGAATTAAAGCTCTCATGTAAACGTGGCAAGAGTCTCTTTAATACGAACCAAACATTTCAACAATAATACCCTTTATTACTCTCAATGATCTTCTGCTCCAGTTTCATTTTCAGCTCTGACACCAAAGCCGAGCTGATGTTTCCTTCTTTACGTCTGTTGGCTTTAGCTTTCATCGACGCCTTCGTTGCCAGCGCTCCGGATATGGTGGGCACGGCTCTGGGCCTGTCCCCCGCCCGGCTCGCGCACGGCGGCGGCGGAGGCAAAGGGGGCGTCGGTTTACCCCTCGGACCCACCGCGCCGGCTTCGCAATCGCCCACACCGTCGTTATCTTCGACGAGAAACTTTTCCCCCGGCGTTGACAGCGTGAACAGCGGCATGTTCAGCCTCCACGTCGAGATCCGTGGGGTTTGTCGCTGCCGTTGATCCGGCGGTCGTCTTCTGATGACGCGTCGGGCTGGCGTGATCTTATTGGACTTGGAGTTGCGTAAAAACAAAGCTGCGGACAACATGGCGGTCACACCTACCAAAATACTGATTATAGCGATTACCATGACTACGGCCTTCACCGGATTGTCCCTACTGCGCATTAAAAAAGCCGCCATCGGCCCTTTGAGGTGATCCTGCAACACAAGATGGATCATTTAGTTTGGAACGAAATGACAGGAGCTGTGGATATGATTCTGAAGCATGTGTGAGGTGACCAGACGTTCATATTTACCCGGGACAGTCCCAGTTTTGAACCCTGTGTCCAAATGTCCCAGCAGATTTATCCAAACCCACTCATTTTGTCCAAGAAATGTCCCAGTTGTCCCTATTTTTGAACAATTTGATACCCGCCAACAATAAATACATTTCTTTAGCTAAAATACAGAAAATCCACGCTTGACCATAAGGCAAAAAAAGACATAAATCCCAAAATGAGTCGAGAATGGACAATGTCAATCCGTGTGTCATTCGTTCATTCGTTTTTCAAAATAAAACCAAAAATAAAAAAATGAAAAAAAAAAAAAGCTATTTTCTTCATTATTTGTCTCCAAAACCAAAATAAAAAAAAAACAGATAAAGATTTGTTTTTTCAGTTTTCGATTTTGTGTTTAAATGAAAAATGGAAAAGAAACGGATAACGACCGTTTTCCGTTTCCGTGACTTAAACTGTGATGCTGGACTTAAATCAGGTACAGGACCAGACAGGAACCAGACCGGGACTGAGACCGGGACCAGAGCGGGACTAAGACCGAGACCAGACCGGGATCAGACCGAGACTGAGATCAGGACTGAGACCAGGACCAGACCAGGACCAGAGCGGGACTGAGACCGAGACCAGACCGGGACCAGACCAGGACCAGAGCGGGACTGAGACCGAGACCAGACCAGTACCAGGCCGGGACCAGACTGGGACTGAGACCAGCACTGAGACCGAGACCAGGCCGGACCAGGCCGGGACCAGGCCGGGACCAGATTGAGACCAGACCGAGACCCACGGCAGGACCGGAGCTCGAAGCTGAGGCTCGGACCCCGCGGAGGCTCGGAGTCAAAGCTCGGAGTCAAAGCTCTGGTTCCACTCTGCTTTCCAGTCTGGTCCTGGACCCGGATCAGTCCTGGTTCAGTCCGTGTGCTTTGCAGAAGTCCGACATCGCAGTCACAGAAGTCACGTAAATGGGAAATGGCCGTTACCCGTTTTTTTTTTTTTTTTTTCCATTTTTCATTTAAACACAAAACCGAAAACTGAAAAAACAAATCATTATCTGTTTTTTTTTTTTCATTTTGGTTTTGGAGACATAATGAAGAAAATTGTTCTTATTTTTGGTTTTATATTAAACTAATATGAATGAATGATACATGGATTAATGTAATTCACTATTTTTACAATTTTATTTATATCAAACAGGGCTGGGTTTCATTAAGAATTTGCCGATACGATATACATACCTCGATACAGTGAGCTTTCACTTCGATACGATATATGTCAAACTGATTCGATAAGGTTCAATAAAAAAATAAAGGCTAAATCATGACTGTGATACTAAAAGTCTTTGTTAAACCTCTTCTTGTACAAAGTTCATACGAAACACAAACATTTTAATCATCAAAAAAGTCCCAGTAGATTTTTCCAAAACTACTAATTTGTCCAAGTTTTGTCCAAGAAATGTCCCAGGTGTCGCTATTTTTGACCAATCTGACCCCTGACAACAGTAAACAGACACATACATTGTCATTTGTTTTGGTAAAATAGAGAAAAGCTGCTTAAAAACGACCAAAACACAAAGAAAATGTGACTATCCTGACTCACGTTAGTCATGAACGGCCGAGTACAGAACTATTTTCCTTATTTACACTCTGTTCACAGTTTTATTATTACCAGCCACCACAAACTGGGAGTGTCCCTGTTTTTATTTTAGAAAAATCTGGTCACCTTTAATAGAGGCTTTGCACCGTCACGTGACCCTATGACAACGGTACCTGCGCCGCCATGACACCGGGCACGATATGTCACTGACTTCAGCAGCGTCGGAGAAACATGGGCAGGTTTTGTTGTGTATTTGGTTGTTCTAGACGCTCTGAAAGACATAAAACGAATCGTTTCTTCACTGTTCCTCTGGAAATGACTCATCAGGATCAAACAAGGGAATTATCGAAAAAAAGACGCGGATTATGGCTAGAGAACATAAACCACGAAGAGATTTCCAATGGTTCCATCAAGACACCTGAAGTTTCATCAAGGTATTTGCTATTTAAATTGTTTCATAGTTTATTTAATGAAAGAGGCACATTTACTGAACTAAAATTTCATTAATTTATCCAGGAAAACCTGCACTAGTTTACGATTCAACGAACCCACACTGGGCTCCTGTGATCAACATGACGCACAAGTCGAAGAGTCTGTGAGCCGAACCTCGAAAGAATCGACCATGAAAAGATCCTCGCGAACGTTAGAAAGATCCACTCACAAAAAGAGATTAATTCTAGAAGACATAGTTGTGGATAAACAAGACAATAAAGAAAACATTGGTCCTACGACGAGTGACATGTTTATATGTGCTGGAAGATACAGTTTCTACTGCCGCTCACACTGCAAATGTTTTCTTTTTACATTTTAGTTCAGTAAATGTGCTTCTCTCATTAAATAAACTATGAAACCATTTAAATAGTAAATACCTTGATGAAAGTGACGGGAGTGAGTCTTGATGGTAACATTGGAAATCTCTTCGCGGGTTATGTTCTCTAGCCATAAATCCTGTTTGTTTTTTTCGATAATTTCCTTGTTTGATCCTGATGAGTAATTTCCAGAGGAACAGTGAAGAAACAAATCGTTTTATCCCGTTCAGAGCGTTTAGAACAACCAAATACACAACAAAACCTGCCCACGTTTCTCCGATGCTGCTGAAGTCAGTGACATATCGTACCCGGTGTCATGGCGGCGTAGGTACTGTTGTCATAGGGTCACGTGACGGTGCAAAGTCTCTATACTCAGATCTAGAACCTTGACAAAGCTTAAACTGTATTAATGTTATTATGTTTTATGACAAAGCAGCGAAGCAAGAGCAAAAGCTAAATGTAGAAATAATACACAGAGATGTAGCACGTTAGGAAGACAAAAAGATAAATAAAAAAAAAACAACAACATGGATTCAGAGTTTGTTTATGGGCGACACATGGACACTTTAACCCTATTAAGACTCGTGGATTAACCTGAGATCTCTTTAGTAGAGTCATAATCCCAAAGGTTTAGTAGGTTAACAAAATAACACGAATAAAAATAGTGCAGCAGTGATGTGGAGAAACACAGAACTACAACTATTTTGGCAGAAATCGGTGAATATTTGTCTGTAGTTGAGCATAAAATAAATATTCGTAAACTCTCGAATGAGTCCAGTCGTACAGAAAATATATTGTGTGTATTTTATCTGTCAAGAATTACAATCATGAAATGAAAATGTACGATTACGATTTATTTTTTTTTTTTTTCAGAATTAATAAAAATTCACACACGCGACTTTACGGTCAAAAATACGACATCACTTCACAGGCAGAATTTATCGAGCAGAAGAAACACTGATCGAGATGCTGGACTTTTTTGCCGCATAAGGACTAAACCAGGACTAAACCAGGACTAAACCAAGACTAAACCAGGACTAAACCAGACTAAACCAGGACTAAACCAGGACTAAACCAGGACTAAACAAAGACTAAACCAAGACTAAACCAGGACTAAACCAGAACTAAACCAGGACTAAACCAGGACTAAACCAGGACTAAACAAGACTAAACCAAGACTAAACCAGGACTAAACCAGAACTAAACCAGGTCTAAACCAGGACTAAACAAAGACTAAACCAAGACTAAACCAGGACTAAACCAGAACTAAACCAGGATTAAACCAAGACTAAACTAGGACTAAACCAGGACTAAACCAGGACTAAACCAAGACTAAACCAGGACTGAACCAGGACTAAACCAAGACTAAATCAACACTAAACCAAGACTAAACCAGGACTAAACCAGAACTAAACCAGGATTAAACCAAAACTAAACCAGGACTAAACCAAGACTAAACCAGGACTAAACCAGAACTGAACCAGGATTAAACCAAGACTAAACCAGGACTAAACCAGGATTAAACCAAGACTAAACCAGGACTGAACCAGGACTGAACCAAGACTAAACCAGGACTAAACCAGAACTGAACCAGATTAAACCAAGACTAAACCAGAACTGAACCAGGATTAAACCAAGACTAAACCAGGACTAAACCAGACTGAACCAGGACTAAACCAGACTAAACCAGGATTAAACCAAGACTAAACCAGAACTGAACCAGGATTAAACCAAGACTAAACCAGGACTAAACCAGGACTAAACCAAGACTAAACCAGGACTAAACCAGAACTGAACCAGGACTGAACCAAGACTAAACCAGGACTAAAAACTAAACCAGGACTAAACCAGGACTAAACCAGGACTAAACCAGGACTAAACCAAGACTAAACCAGGACTAAACCAGAACTGAACCAGGATTAAACCAAGACTAAACCAGGACTAAACCAAGACTAAACCAGGACTAAATCAACACTAAACCAGGACTGAACCAGGACTGAAGCAGGACTGAAGCAGGACTGAACCAGGACTAAACCAGGACTAAACCAGAACTAAACCAGGACAGGACAGTAAAGTCGCGTCCGTGAATTTGTATTCGTTCTGAAGAAAACGTAATCTTAAATTTTCATTCCGTGATTGTAATTCTTAACTTTTCCACTCTTATTCCGCTGGATAACACACAGAACACACTTTCTGTACGACTGGACTCATTCTAGAGTTTATAAATATTTATTTTACGCTCAGTTACAGCCAAATATTCACCGATTTCGATCCTACGCAGACGAACATTTCTGAAAGCTTAATTACTCCATAGTTTTAGTTTCCTGTTGGGATTGTGTAATGACTTTATAATGCTTCTACCGTTAAAAAAAGGTTCTTTATTTTCAGATTTGCACCAGAAATTGAAATACCAGTTTTAGATCTTATACAGTAACAACAAAAGAGTTAATTTGTGCGAAGGGCGAGCGGCCTGGAGATCACAAAAACCAATTTGAGCTCACAAACATAAACACATGACCTGAGC